TATTATTATTATTATTATTATTATTATTATTATTATTACTATTATTATTATTATTGTTATTATTATTATTATTATTATTATTATTATTTTTGTTTACTATCAGGTAATGATAAAAATAAATAATAATAATTATAATAATAAACAAAAGACTCGAGAGGAAAGAAAATCCGCCAAAAATATATATATGTATATAGCTAAATACAAAGATAAATAATGAATGGCAATGCCTATGTACTTTGGTAAATATGGATTTCTTATTCCCCCATCTTTATAGACTTGTAAAAACACAAATAGTATAACTCAATGTTTATTGACTTTTATTATGACAGATTCTTAACGCTTTTATACGTTCATCTCTCCGAGTCATGATATAAAAGAATATGTGAATATAAAGTAGCGCACTCAACACACTTTCACACTCACTCACCGAACACCAAATGACGTTAGTGTGCCGGTGTATAAGAAGTGCACTTATATTCATATTTTCACTTAGTCTTAGTTTTAAAGTATTTTCTTGAGTCTTTTTCCTGTTGCTTTTTTTTTGTATATCTTTTTTTTCTGGAGCGGCATTCACAGTTTTATTTATTCGTACCTAAATCATTGTCATTTTGTCTAGTATTCGCAATGCCCGATCTTCGCTTGTCATCATCAGCCTGCTTAGGCTGTTTCAGCTCAGGTGGCTCGCTCACGTCTTGGGCAATGCCAATGCTGCTGGCGTTACTTGCGCTCGTTGCATCCGTAGAGACTTGATTAATGGATTTCGATTTGCGCATATTTTCCTTAATTTTCTTAAGACTCGCCGTCGCATGGCGTAGAATTGTAACCGTATCGTGAATTCGACTGCCAACCTCCAGAGCATTGCCGACAATTAGGCGTTCAGAGATTTGATCGTTTGGCGCATTCAACCGAGAGACTGAACGGCTCGGCATGATTAGGGTCACCTCCGAGTCACTGCTGGGAGCTGTTGCCGCTGTGCTGCTCTCAGCTGCTGAAACCGTCGATGCATATCGCGTATTATTGTTTTTCCTTGGACTGCCCGAGGAGGAGGGGGAGGAGGAGGAGTTGCCGGGCATCGTTGGCTTCGATGTTCCTGGGCTCTGGCCACACTTTGGATGAGTTGGCGTCGTCTCACCCATGGACGCATCGCTGTTAACTCTCTCTGGTAGAGAAGAGTTTGAGTTCCCAGATTGTGGATGTTCAACCGGGGATCGCTCCACTTCGGTCCTCATCTTGCTTGAATATTGATCGCTGCCAGCCGTCGAGGAAGAAGTCCCATCATAGCTACTATTGGCCAATGCTGACGTCGGTTCATCCCCTGAGGGTGGATTTTTGTCTGCTGGCGCCTTTTCACTGGTGCGGTTACGCATCAGGAATCCATACATTTTGTCAACATCTTCGGCAGTAAAATGCTTGGGCCTAGACTTTTCGATCCTTGTTGGCTGTGTTTTCCTCTTGCTGGAGGATCGTTTGCTGGTTTCTGCTGCCATATCCGGCGAATCGCTTGCTTTTGGCTTTTCCGATGCCGAGGTCCTACGCGATTTCGTTTTCTTGCCAGCTCGACTAACCCCGCCCTCTAGAGCCTTGCCGCTGCCCGCTGCCCTATTGCCTTTATTGCTGGCATTACTAAAGGGCAGCTCGGCTTGTTCAGCTTGAGGATCTTTGCGCTCTTCACGGCTCGACGATTTCTTACTTGGCCTTCGCACAGGTGAACTCAGTTTCCTGTGTGGGTCCGTTCTCATTTCGCTGGCATTCTTCGCTTTGGCCGAGACATCCAGTTTTTGTGGAGCCTCGCCTTCGGGCCCTGAGTCAGGTATGACATAGGGACTGAAGCTGCAGGTCTTTAGTCGAACTGGTCTATCTGGACCATCGGGACCATCGGGACCATCTGGTCTGTCTGGACCAGGGGGACCTGTTGGCCTATCTGGTGTCTTATCGGACACCCGTCGTCTTACAGTCGACCTTTTGGAATCCCGACTGCTGCCACTGCTGCCTCGCACTGAATGGCCGACGGACGAAGTGCCTCTGACCATAGACGCTCTGTGGACTGGACTCGATTCATTCGCTAGGGCCGAGCCGCTGCCAATCCTCGTGGCTGATGCACTTGACATCATTGGCACTTTCGTATGCATGGCTAGGCCAGCCTGCACCGTCCTCGACAAGGTGTCCGTGCAGCTGGGCTGAGAGTTCATGTCAGCATGGGAAATCGCCGGGAAGCCCGGATCCATGGCTGGGGAGAAAGCAAGTGAATCTCCGGCGAGCGCCTGCTGGCACTGCTCGCTCTCCGGCCGGTTCTTTTTGGGCGTGATGATGTCGCCGAGGCCCATCTCCTGGCGCAGAAATTTTCGCGCCATTCGCATCTCCTTCAGCTGCCGCTGCTGATCCCAGCCCAGTTCCTCGGACATTATCTCCAGCACGGTGGGCAGCATCTCCTGCGCAGCGGCCGCATCAACGAACGCCACGCGCAGCCGGCGCGCAATCACGTCCACCACATGGCAGGCATACTCACGCTGGCAGGCGTAGATCACCTCGGCCTGTATGTAGGGAAACTGCGGATGCAAGCGCTGCCGGCTGTCCGGCTGAGGGCAGTAGCTGGGGCAGAGCAACAGGGGCGCATTGCTGCCATACGACTCGGCCAGATGCTGCGCCACGTCCATGGGCAGATCGTATGCCTGCACCAAATCGAGGGGCAGCATGCAGCAAAAGTTCTCGGCGCCGTCCAGCAACAGATTGCTGGAGACGCTCACGTCCGAATGCGGCTCCAGTAGGCACGACTCAATGGCCGTGTTGATCGCATCGACGGCCATTACACGGTACGTGCTCCAGCGCCCGCCGGCCAGGGTGATCATCTGATTGCCGCTAACCTCGAGCAGAAAGTTGGGCACAACTTGCGGCTCCTTGTCCTGCTGCTGGTCCTGGCCCTGGCCCTTGCCCTTGTCCTGGCCGATGTTGTGTCGGTCCGTCGCAGTGTCCGCATTGGTTGGGCACATGATGGATGGCTTCACCCCCGTCCAGGCGCTTAGCACATGCTCCTCGCGCAACTGCACACAGTCGTCGAGCACGCGGCGCGTATGCCTTAGCAGGCAGTTAACCACATCGGCTGTCGGGGCCGGCGGCTCGCCGGTCGGCTCGGGACGCTCCACATCCATGCTGCCCACGAGTAGACGATTCTCAAAGGGCAGCATGATCAGCGCCTCGTCGCAGCCGTCGCAGCTGGGGAAGAGCAGGCCACAGTTCTGGGAGCCATAATAGCCGGGCAAGGCGATGTGAGTGCCCAAGTGGGGCACTGCGATCGGATTGGCGCGGCAGTCCTCCAGTTTTCTTATCGCGTCCGTGCCGGCGCCCGTCGCATTGATAATCACCCGCGTATTGATGATGAACGACTCCTCCTGCAGGGCATCGGCGACGAGCACCTCACGGCAGTCCTGATAGCAGCTCGGCATCAGCTTCAGCAGGCGCACATAGTTGGCCACCGTGGCCCCAAGCTTGACCGCCGTCATGGCCAGGGCGAGGCACATGCGCGCATCATCCAGCTGGACGTCGTAGTAGATCAGCGAGCCCAGCAGCCCGTCCTTGCGCAGCAAAGGGAACTCATTGAGCGTGGCCTGCTTGGAGAGGAAGTGGGAGCCGCGCACATTCGACATGCCCGCCATGGCGTCGTACATCTTCAGGCCCAGCCAATAGAGGGGCAGGCGCAACGGACTGTAGATGGGCATCAGCATCGGCTGCACGCGATTCAAATGGGGGGCTATCGTTAGCATTGTGGCCCGCTCGTTCAGCAGCTGCTGCAGCATGAAGATCTGCTGCAGATCGGCGCCCTGAATCGCTGCATGCAAATACGAGTTGCTGCCCTCAATCAGTTTGCTCGACTTGCAGCTGGCGCCGCTGGCAAAGTCCTCGGCCTCGATGAGGGCCGTCTTGAAGCCGCGAGAGGCCGCCTCGAGGGCACAGCCACAGCCGATGGCACCGCCGCCGATAACCAGAATATCGAAATGTTCGCTCTTCAGCGATGTCATCTGCTGCTTTCGCTTTGGCATCTGGCCGCTGCTCTCCCTGCCCGCCTTCAGGCCCTGGTGGAGCATGGCGCTCATTGAGGACAGCAGGCGATACGGCTGCTTCGGCCATGCCGATGCCGCCAGACTCATTCGCATCTTCATTAGCATATCCGTTCCCCTGTCTCTGTCTCGATTCAACAATCGACTTGGCCAGCCTCGAATCTGTCGAGCTGCAAAACGGTCATTGGTAGCTAGTTGAAACGAAGAATTTACTGGGACATAAAACCGAAAAAGTATTTTGGATTTTGTGAAAGCAAAAAGTTTGATACAATTTAATTGAATTCACCTGATACATTTCTAGACTAGTTTCCCATTGATGGCTATTTCAAAGGCATGCGGTCTTATTGATGATATACAATATGAATGAATCGTACTAATAATCTCTCTGTATATTCTCATATTCATTCATTACGAATGACTATATTGAGTTTGTGCAATGCCCGTCTGTCTCTATCTGTCGCTCTATCCATCCGTCCATCCGACTGTCCGCCCATGTCCGTCGGTCTGTCTTTCCATTACACTGGTCGGTCCGTCTATCCCCTTGTCTGACCCTCCGATTATCCTTACGAATTCCTCCGAATTTCCTCCGTCTATACCTTTGTCTCCAGTCTGTTCGTCTATCTGTTTCTTGTTTCGTCCGTCCGTCCGTTCGAATATCTGTCCGACCGTATATGTGTCCGTCCGTGTTTTGCCCGTCGATCGGTCTATCCGTCCATCGCTCTGTGCGTCCGTCCGTCCGTGTGCCCGTCTGCTCGCCTGTCCGTGCGTCTACACCGTCCCTCCTGCGACTCTCATGACCTCAAGTGGGTCACACAGATTTCTCCATTTATTCATGTAAAATATCATAGGCGATGCATGCTCCAAGATAATACGATATTAATAATCAATAATAACGAATAAGTATCCTTAATATGTATGTATATTATCTTCAATTGGATCAGGAGTGTGTTTTAATGACTTTGGAGTCCCTGACGGGACGAACTGACAAAAAGTAAGATAAATAAACCAACACAAATGGTCAAAATGGTGCCGATATTTATGAGCACGCAAACATGGATAGCAAGCGAGGCCAAACGAATGGTCGGACGGCAGGATATGGCAGTGCTGGTATGACAGGGCGTTGGGGCTAGGGCGCCCTAATCGTGTCAATGGAGAGACAATAGTTGAAAATTAACAAATGAATTGAAATTACTTAAACAAACTCATTAGCGTGTGAAAGTCAAGGCGTTCATCAAGCTGCCCGCGCTTTGTTGACACCAATTGTTCTCGGGCGGGCGGTTCTGGCTGGGGGTGGGGGCCGCAGAGGCACTGAAATGGGTGGGCATTAAATAATGCCCAAGGGGGCGGGTACGCGGCACAGCCATGGAGCCCATTGTGGGTCAGAGGCAAGTTTTTGCGCGCTGAAATGATTATAAGCCCGTCTAAATATTCGGGCTACGCCTAGCCAATTGTTTTCTATTGTTGTTGTTGTTGTTGTTGTTGCTTTTGGCCTGTCGTGTCCGAGGAACGCCTACTTTACCTGGTCCCCAGAGCGAATGCCCATTGACTGCGGCAAGTATTGCATGTAATTAAATTTTCCAGCCTTTATGAGTTAAGCATAGTAATTTCGTGTCCCCTGGCAGTCACGACTTTAAATTGTCATCGATGTGACGGTACGGCGCAGCCGGTTGACATCAATAGCGAGCGGAGGAGACGGTGCCGGTCATTAGGGTAGCTAGATATTTCATTTAGTTGACAGCCCAGCACAGCTGTAATTTTCATTAGGTATATTTGAGACAATGGCACTAATTAGGAATTTAAAGTGAAAAGAGTATATTGGTTTCCTGCAATGCCTACCGAAGCAATATGCATCATGTAAAATATCAAATTTGTTCAATCAAAGGCGAGTGTAATATATAATGTAATATTAAAATTTAAGTACTAGGCAGAAGGAGACCACAAAGTACGTATGTGCGTGTGTGTTTGCATGTGCGAATAATTGTTGATATATTGGTCAAATTGGCTCAAAGGATTCATTACTTGCTTATTAATAAGGACAATTAAAATGTCATAAAAAATATGAAAGCATTCAGTTAGGCACACATTCGCCTGATCATCATTTGTGTGGATTTTAGTGGCCATCCGGGCCATAATCTGGGCAGTTTATGTCGTCCAACAGCTTTGGATGTTTGTCGTCCATTTAAATTACTGAAATTGTCGAAAAATCAATAGGGCATAAGCTTCAAGTGTTTTGCTTTTTGTTTTTACCACGTATAGCAGCTCCTAAACCACCAGCCAGACTTAAAACGTGCTGCACAGCTCCTGTCAGATAAATCGTTATCCCGATCTTTTGTTGAGAATTTCATGTTTTTATGATATTCTAAGACATTGTCAGCATTCCCAGAATAATCACCAAGCTTCTTAAGCTCGTACGACTCTTCTTCGCTGCCAATGAGGAAATGGCTGTACCGGGCATAT